TCATAATTCACGATGGACTCTTTCGTTTCAAGAAAGAGTCCATCGCTTCGGAATTTGCTTCGGACTGGCGTCGGTGCCCTCGGCTTTTCAAAAAAATGATACATATGATCCTAAAAGGGTGCAAGTGTGTCTTAGTTTACATTGACGATATAATCGTGTGTAGACGCTCCCGAGAGGATTATCTGCGCAATTTGCGCGCTGTTTTGAAGCGCTTCTCTGATGCGGGCCTCAGGCTCAATCACAAGTGTGTTTTTAACGTCGCAGAGCTGACTTTCCTTGGTCATGTTGTCAGCGCTATAGGATTATTTACACTAATGTCATCCATTGAGACAATAACCAAGGCACCATCACCTAAAAACATCAACAAACTGCGTTCTATACTGGGACTTGCAGGTTTCTACTCCAAGATTATTCCACACTTTTCTGACGTCGTGGAGCCAATGCGTACATTGCTTCGAGGAAATGCGCCGTTCGTTTGGACTGCGGCAGCACAAAACAGTTTGGAGCAACTGAAAGCCCGGTTAACATCTTGTGAAGTGCTTCATCTCTTCGATCTTCATATACTTGCGTATGTTACGTCGGATGCGTCAGGATATGGACTAGGTGCGGTGCTTCAGCAGGATAACGAAACCTCAGTGCAAACTGTCGTATTCGCCTCGCGCACTGTGCAACCGCATGAACGCGACAGTACTCAATCGGCGAACGTGAGGCTCTTGCTTGCGTCTGGGCGTGCAAACATTGGCAAGTTTACCTGTGGGGGCGGCCATTTATCCTACGGACTCACCATGCAGCGTTGGTTACGCTCCTCTCAACAAAAGGTACAGGTCACCGTCTATTGAGGATAGCACGCTGGTCCTCACGGTTATACAGAAAGGGCAGTGAAAACTTTGTGGCTGACGCTCTCTCCCAGCTGCCTGTACAGAGTTTACTCCCCAGTGCACCTGAGAAAGAATTCATATGCCTTTTGTCTCCAGTTGTGACCATGCCAGAACTTCAAGAAGCAAGTGCCAATGATCAGGCTATCTGTCAAGTTAAGCACTTCACGACTACCTCTTGGCCTGACAAGAAATCCCTGTCAAAAGAGTTGCTATACCTTACTTTTACGTGAAGGCTTAACTCTCTGCCGTAAGTGACATCCTATGTCGGGGTGACAGGATTGTCGTGCCGGCGACTTTGATACGTCGTCTTATGGATCTGGCCCACGTGTCACATCCAGGCATTAGTTGTACCAAAGCTCGCCTGAGAGAGTCTTATTGGTGGCTCTGCGTAGATAGCCACATTGAGAACTGGTGCGCATATGCGTGATTTGCCAGTCTTGTGACAAGTACGCACGTACCTTTGCAGCGCCCCTGCAACCTGTTCCTCTTCCTGACGCGGCGTGGGTAAAATTGTCATCGACATTGTGGGACCTTTCACGCAAGCTTTGGCCGACGACCGTTTTGCAATTACTTTTATTGACTACTATATCAAGTGGCCTGAAGTGGCTTTCGTGCGAGATGCGACGACGTCTACAGGGAAGAAGTTCTTAGTTGAAATTTTTGCGCGAGAAGGATACCAACGTAGTATTGTATCCGGTCATGGACCTTGGTTTTCTTCAGCAAGCTTTTCTTAATTTCTCACAGCGTGGAATAACGCACTACAACTCCTCTGCGTATTACCCACAAGCTAATGGCTTGGTCAAAAGATTCAACAGGGTGCTGAAGCCATATGTTCAACAATCCCTGTTTGAAAGTCGTGATATACGAACTGTCATGCTTGATTACCTGCAAGTATATCGCTGTACACCTCAAGCGACTACTGTTGTGGCACCCGCAGTTCTCCTTCATCGACGCCAACCTCGCACCAGACTTGTCATAGTGGGATTGCCTGACAGACGCTTCAGCACGGACCCGTCAAGGGCGATTGAGCAGTTGCGAGAGCACGTAAAAAACAGAAAAATGATCTCGAAAAGCTATACCGATGAAAAACGTGGAGTCAAGAAACCCAGTTTTGTCGTTGGTGATTACGTGCGTGTTTAGACACCTGCAGTTCACGGCAAGCTGTCTCTACAATTCTCTGCACCCAAGGAGATCATTGGAAAACGTGGACCGGCCTCGTACTTCTTAGACGATGAGCGTGTGTGGAACGCATCCAAGTTAGCCGCAGTTCACCCCGGAGCAGTCAACAAAATGAAATCAGGCACCTCTGCTGTTATGAACTAGACACCTTCATTTAATCGGTCTTATGATGCACCACAGCTGAGACCTCTGCTCTTATGAACTGGTCACCTGCATCTGATCGGTCATCTAGTGCGCCACAATCTGACGCATCAAGAGGGGATGGTCATGAAAGTGCAAACCCTGAATTATCTGCACCAGAAGGCACGCAAGCTTCAACCAGTCTAGGATTTATTGCGCCTGTAAGAAAAAGCAAGTGTAAGAGAAAGACCCCGAAGAAATTGAAGGACTTTGTTAGGGAGTAGAGTAAAGAAAAACAGTTCTTCTGTGTGTTTTATTGTTTTATTTTTATTCATTTTTTGCAAGAGGGGATATGTGATATAAGGCGTCCCTATCGACTACAGCGCTGTGCGATGGCCCGTGCTCGGCGCCTGCCACAGGGAAGATGATGAAATAAACAAGATGTCCCTGTTTATGCTGTGACTTTCATTATGTACGATGTAACACCTCTGTTACCGTCACCACCCCACGCAGTGACACTTTCGAATGCACGTCGCAGCCGGCCGTGACATTGCCTTCGCCCGACCTTCCGACTCCAACGACGCCATCTCGCATCGCACTGCCCAAGCTACACATACTTAGTTTCTCTGGAGAACGTCGCGACTGACAAGGATTTTGGGACCATTTGCAAGCAAGCATCCACAACAACGACTGGATCCCGAAACTCCATAAGTTCCAATACTTATTAACATACCTGAATGGGGCAGCGAAGTCAGCCATTCGAAGTATTCGCCTGACCGAAGCGAACTATGACGTCGCCATTCAAATCCTATCGGGCCACTTCGGCCGTCACGGCATGATAGTCGATGGACATCTCGACAGTTTGCTGTCAGTCACACCGACTCGAAGCTCCACCGACGTGACCAAGCTAAGAAATCTTTATGATGAAACGACCTTCCGCATCGATGCCCTGTAAGGTCCTGGAGTGTCTCCAGGAGAGTATTGCACGGTGCTGCAGCATGTCCTCTTGAAGGCGTTATCTCCGGACCCCAGCATCCTCTATCAGCAATGGCAAAAGGAAGCTATATGCTAGCTGAGAACGCCATAGCACCTGAAAAAGCACAGTCGAAACAAGTGAAAGACATTATGACTTTTATCAAAGTTCAAGTGGAATTACGGGACGAAAGCGGTCTCGTGGAACCGGCGTCGTCTACAAGCCGGCGACCTCCGCAGCGAGAATTGAGGACACCGCAGTGAGCCTGGTCCTCCAGTGCTGCTTTATCAGAAAAAGTTCGATCTCAATACTCACACCCCTGCGTCCTGAGCACCTCTCCCGAACACACTGTCCAGGATTGCTCCGAACATATCCTTCTAGAAAAGATGCGGAAAAGGCTTCACGCAGAGAAGTTACGCTTTCGCTGCACCAAACGCAACCATTTCGCCACTGATTCCCGCACGACCAAAACCAAAACGACATTTAACTTTGCTCATTTGACATTTAACCCCTCGTTCAGGTTTTGCCAAGAGTAATTTGACCCGTCTTGACGGCACACCCTTGCTTGAAATGCGTCGAAATATTTTCGTCCCGTTCACAAAGGCCGAAAAACTTCAATAATGATCAGGGTCGTAACACCAAGTCGTCAGGAGGCTCCCACATCGACGTTTCTAAAAACGCGGCCATGAGTCAGACTCGTGGACCCGCAAACGTCATCTTGATGTGCGCGGCAGCGGAATGTCAGTGTCCGGAACGGACACCGACATTCCGCTGCTGGTAACAGAGCAAGTGGACGAATCTCTGCTGCTTTCGAACGCGGCCAAGATTCCCGTCCTTGGCGAGGTCACTGCTTGACGGAACCAAGATGCTTCGGCATCATCGTCATCCTCTTCGAGCGAGAAAGCATAATCACTGTCGATCTTGTAGTCTTCATCCAGCTCGAATGCACCTGTGAGCCAGACATTCGCTCAGGACTACTTGACACTCCAAGTGGTCAAGCAGCGCACGATCATGCAGCTACTACGAAGGCTTCAGAAGCGATACCAACAGTGGTTGGTGAACAAGACTGTGAAGAAGCACGTGAATTATCGAGAAACCTTGCGAGTCTAAGACAGCGGGCCAACATCTGACTCTTCCTGCTACAATCTACGCAAGAAGAGCAGAAGCCACCACTATCACCCGAAAATGGCTAACAGCGTGACCACCAAGTATTCTCGACATCCTAGCAAGATTGGATGACTTTCCCCTCGAGACAAGCCACCGCCTCCCCAAAGCCTTTCATCGTCGCCTTCTAACAGCCCCACTCTTTCCATCGTTCATGTCTTGCTCGCCAATGTGCGCCGGGGAACTTCTGCCGCTGTGCACCCGAACAATGTCGCGAGTTTGCCCGCCGCGAGAGTGTGTTGCAAATAAAGGAGGAAGCAGGGGCGGCGGGCACAGGCAATAGCCATGGACGCTGGCTCGCTCAGTTGTTCCGTTCACCTTCGATGTAGCCAAACGATCGGGTTCGGGTCTCTTGTTTGTTTCTCACACATAATATGCTGATCGCAGTAGCTTTATCAAAACTAGTGCGACGTGAAGCTTCGCTGGCCATCCATTCTGATAGCGCTATATTTATTTTAAATTATCTCGTGTCAGGTCACATTTTCACCTTTCTTTTTTTTTTTCTTCGGATAGATTTGTGTTAGCAGCGCGTAAGTAAAACGTGGGTTTCACACACACATTGTGGTTAAAAGAAATAGAGGGCAGAGCAAGTCGAAAGAAGACCCAGGAAACTGTTCCACTAAGTTTTTCTCAAACGCTACTGAAAACCACGGCTAGAAATTCTTGCAAAGTGAAACATTTTCAACACAGCTGGATGATTCACTTTTACTTTATTGCAACACGCGCATACTACAGTGCCACTGAGTAGATTGTGTGTACGAAGAATGATGCGCTGACACTGATATATGTACCTATATACAAGAAAAAATAAAGATTGCCGCGGCTTTTTCATGTACAGCGTGCTAAGTGAGTGAGACATATCTCCGATGTCACCCACGAGGCCGTGCCTATAAGATCTTACAAGCTAACTTCTTCTTTCTTGAGGATTTTGGCTGGAGTACTGCCCGGGCAGCCTCTTCAAAGACCTGCGAATGGGAAAGACAAATGATAATTTAGTGTAAGGAAGGTGCTTCGCACAGCGTATTCTTAAGATGTGACAGTCAGAGCTAGCTACATTCAAAGTATAACCGCCTGCCACTGCTGCGGCAGTAAGCGATTGAGCATGATGTGAAGGGCTCGATACCAATAAGTAGCGGCTACGCCATTCAGATGCAGACAGAAAAAAAAATGTCAGAGCGATAGCAGCATCTACCGCAGGAAGCATGCTGTGGCGGTGTTGCACCAATGCTCCCTAGATTCCTAAGGCCTTTCCGATGGTTGCGTGACGTCACACCATGGGTCCGTGCGGGCGCTGCATTCCGTTATTCTGGAGCGCCGCGCTCACTTCTACTGGTTTGCGGAGCGTCTGCTCGCATGGCAGTTCGGGGTGTTGCTTTGCGTGCTTGCAACAGATGGCGCGACACACTTTCTAAATATGCAACAAGCACCGACGCTTGTACACGAGAACACAACAAGCTGTGTTCTCGTGTACAAATGTCGTTTGGGGCCACCAAACAGCATATGAAAACACAGAAAAACAATACGAGCTCATCATTTTCTCTTGACGTTTTTCGCCTTTTTGGTGCACTTCGTGATGCTATGTAGGGGTATTCTCGTGACATCATTAAAATACGTGATCTCAACTAAAGGCCTTAGACAAGAAATTTTTTAGGGGGGGGGGGGGAGGCACTTAGGTGAGGCCTTGAATAACACCTATTTTCTTAATTTTTTTCTAAAGCACCCCCCTCCGACCGAATATCAGGAAGGGTTAGGGGCCTAGGGCTTCCTCTCTCCGTGGCTAGGGGCCTGCTCAACTGGTTCATGTACGAGAAATATCAGTTGTGAAATGGTCGCCTATGCTGCTTTGGCGTGCAGTCGCCCGGCCGTCTTTAGTTATCTCGCATGACTATCATGTGCGATCAACCGATTTCACTTCGCTTTTGTGTATTTTTGACCATGGAAGAGGAAATAACAGCGTGCGGCCGACAGCGGGCTATCATTATGACACCAGTTGTCATGGACAGGGACAGGGCTCATAATGAGTTATGTTTCTGAGATATCGACGCAAAATTTCGCTCCAGCTTCGCACTTTTGACATCTGTCTCCTTCCTGCCATGTTTAGACGTTTCAAACAAAGTGCTTTCAGACAAACTTTTACGAACTACTACCAACCATAAGTATATGCGCGTGACACAATGAATTATGCGCTCTTAGATATCTCTGATGTATACTTATTACATGTAATAAGCTTTCATAGAAGATACTTGATGAATTAGAGCATACGCTAGATACAACTCACTGTTGTAAAATGAGCACCACAAAGCTAGAAACACACACCTCCCTGACACGTTCTCCCGTCTTGGCTGAGCACTCGATGTAGCTGTAAGCTTTGATCTTGGAGGCCAGCTTCTTGCCCGATGCTCGGGTCACGAGCTCCTCGGCGGAATCCTCTTGGCGAAGGTCGGCCTTGGTGGCTGCAATAAGTTCGAGGTGAATTGCTGACTTCAAATAAAATATAGCTATCCTCTTTGTATGTAGTAACAAAGAACACAGAAAAATGTGCGCTCCACTGTCAAAGCACATACTTAAAAGGGCACGCGGCTCTTCATTCGCGGCATTTTAGCAGAAATACTGGCGGAAGTGACGTCTGTGCATCGCAGAAATGTTCGCGAATGTGCTAGCGCCACCTAGCAGGCACGAAGCCCGGTGATTTCATAACTTTCACAGAAGAAAATTCGCACTGATGTGATTTCCCTTTAGCAGTGAACTACTCCGTAGTGTAGATATCTTCAGACATGCAAGCCATTTCTTCAAAGCACTCGCTCACAACAACAGCGTCAGTGAAGCACATACTTCTGTAGGTCGGGACTGTACGAACGGGAATGCCAATCTGTATCTTTTTTTATGTAGCGGCCGTGGTGCTATGTACCTGTATAGCTATTACCTCAGCTTTTGCCTCAGAATTCCTGCCAAATGCGTACAGTAATATGTTGTCTCTACCTCGAAGTTACATACTTTCAACTTGTGTTCTAAGCGTTTGTAATTAAAGCGTAACGTCGTCATCCTCCCCCTCTGTCACACATGGTAATCTGCAGTAATTGGCGCTGTAAGTTTGGGTAGGTCAACACATCAGTCTTTTCTTGGCCGCGGGTTGTATTAGTTTGTTCTTGGTCACGGGCCGCCGCTCCATGCTTCCTCAGTAAAAAAATGTACATAAAATATCGAGATAACGTGAGGCACACCACTTCGGCAACTGTCAAGAAGATTCACAAAAACGTCAATTGTTGACTGCTTTGATCGGATGGAGACATTTCGATGTGCCGTAGATGTACAACTTCTGCATTTTTTCAGAAATACATATCAAGAGGAAGAACAGCTTTTTTTGCATTGAAACTTGCTGAGGGGGGAGTACTTGATGATACTAAAGTGAGTAATATAATATTAAGTGATATGTAGTTATGTAGCAATAGCATGTACAGGGATTAAAAGAGATAATACGTGAATAATGCGAACAATTGGTAATGTCGAGGCTACCGAAGGAGTACAAGTACAAACAGTGCAAAGAAGTGAGAACATCAAAGTAACGTAATGAATGTCTCGTGATAGCATAAGGTTTTACGAGTGCGCTCCTTAGCTATAGCGACTGCAACTTTTATTCTCCATCAGCAGCGTGTTTATGGCCAATTAAGAAAAAATAACACAATTCGCTCTAAGCGAATGCGAATGTGGCCAACCTGGCATGCCTTCGTCCTCATGTTAAGACCATAACATAAGACCGTAATGGCAAGATAAGACCGATAACGCAATAAGATAAGACCGTAACGGCAAGAGCCGCGATGGATGGGGCAGCCAGTTTGGCTGACAGCTAGAAATTTCTCAGCTCAATGTGACTGAAGCACTCAAGTCATGATCTACCTGAGAGGTGAGAAGTGATGATGACGCTTAAAAAATAATACTAAACAAGCATGTGGTATGCTTTATGATGTAATTTTATCGGCGAATGTAATTTTATCGACAAATGCACGCTTGCTGGCGGCAGTGTACGCGTGAGCGCAGTCCACCTTATCCGCAGTGTAAACCATGTGCTCCAAAAGTCCGTAGCAGCGGCAGTTACACACAAGTCCCGCAAGGTGCTGTAAAAGAAAAAAAAAGTAAAAGGAAAAAAATGATGTGACAATAACCGTACCCACTAAGACGTATGGCGTCGAAGGGCAGTGATGCTTGAGCTCGGGTTGCCACTTTGTCAAGATGTTGTTATACGACGCTTGGCTGCTGATGCTGTAGCACAGCAGGAACACGTCCGACTGCACGCAAGAGACGAAGACGAATGAGCTGTCGCCAGAGTAGTTTCCACGGTGCACGCAAGAGCATTACACGCAAATCAGCACGAACTTCCTCTTGTACAACGTCCAACTCTGTTCTAGCATACAGAAGTCTAACTGCAGGCTAGAATTAATTAAGGGCTGACTGGTGATCCCTATATGTAGCGCTAGCTGGGTGGCGTGGAACCCAAATAAAGTTTTCCTCCTCATCATCAAGGGCTGACAATTCTTATAAAGAAACCAATTGATCATTCAACATTGTACGTTACAGAGGCATCTATTCAATCAATCAATCAATCAATCACTGACCCCAGGGTAGGAAAGCGGCCTCAGCTTCTCGTAGTCTTCCTGTCCCGCGGTGTCCCACAGCGTCAGGTTTGCAGTGACGCCGTCCACAAGTAGGCTACCCGCGTAGTTGTCGAAGCTGCGAATCGGTCATGTGCGAGAGTGAATGCGAGAACGAGGTCGTCCCTTGTGGCAGAACTCCCCACACTTTGTATCCATGCACAGCCCGAGCATAAACAGTGTTTGCAACAAGAGATGCATGCATGAGCCGACAGATGGATTGGTACATATTCATGCGGAGTGGATAGAACAAAAATAAAGAAATGAATCAAATGACATACGCGACAACATTAGGCAACGTAATAGCTTTCACAGTAACAATTTAATTATTGAACATAAGCAACACAATTATGTTTATTATCATTAATTAATTAATCTTCATTATCCTTACGTTTTTCAGAAATAACCTAGGAAAAAGGTACAGTCCGAATTCATTAAAAAATCACCCAATTTCACTTGATAACGATATCGCGAACATTCAGGGCGGGAAATTGTACGAAACAGGAACGTATCAATGAGGTTATACTGCATATTTCCAAGATCAAATAACACATTACTGTTCTGCCACATTTTCTCGATAAGTATGATTTTTGTTCTCTAAAAGCAGATAAAGTAATGAAGATTCGATTAACTACTACAATAAAATGTTCTTTTTCTTTTTTTCTTTTTCGAATTGACAGTGCACGAATGTTAACTGACTAGACACAACTACACAGTAGCACGTGGCAACAACACTACGCGACGCCAGATCTTGTTCGTCTTTGTTATGATACGGGCGCTCGGTACAAACACACCATGTGAGTGAGCACATTGCGTGCTCTTATCGAGTGAGTGGCCGTGGTTTCATGCACATATACACATACGAGTCAAAAGGCGCTGCTGCTCACACTGTGGGCTCGTAGTCGTTGCCGGGAAAGGCTCCGGTGGTGAAGGCGACCAGCAGGCATGTCTTGCCCACCATGCCGTCTCCCACCACCACCATCTTGATGGGCCGACTCTGCGCCATGCCTCGAGCTCACCGCCGACCGCGGGCCGCCGCTGCCCCTCCTACGAGCCGAGTAAGGACTTGCTCAGATACGTGCATGTTCATTATTATTCCGTGCTGTTGATGTTCAGTGAAGGTACGTTATCATCAGCCTTAATACGTCCACTGCAGGGCAAATGCTCCTTCCCGTGATCCGCCAATCAACCTGGTCTTGTGCTTTCACGTTATACCTGGGAACTTTTTAATCTCATCATCCCACCTAACCTTCCGTTTCCCCTTCGTGCATTTGCCTTCTCTGGGGATCCAGTCAGTTGACCAGCTGACCAGCTGTTATTAATGACCAGCTGTTATTAATGACCAGCTGTTAATGACCAGCTGTTATTCTGCCTACGCGCTACGTGCCGGGTCCTTGTCCATTTCTTCATAGATAATTTCAACTATATTATCCTTAACCCTGCAGTTTGTTCCCTTACCCATTCTGCTCTCTTCTTGTCTCTTAAAGCTACACCTATCATTTTCCTTTCCATCGCTCGCTGCGTTGTTCTTGTTTTAAACTGAAGCGTCTTGGTAAGCCTCCAGGTTTCTGTTCCGTAGATAGGTACCGGCAAGATTTAGCAGTTATATACCTTCCTCATGAGAGTTAGTGTTAGATTACCATTTATCATTTGAGAATAATTGCCGAATGTGATCCACCCCATATCTATTCGTCTAGTTACTTCAATCTCGTGGTTCGGCTCTGCGGTAACTACCTGTTTTAAGTAGACACACTTTTTTACCACTACAAGTGCATGGTTACCTATCTCGAAGCACTGTTCTTTTCCGAAGTTGTTGTAGATTAATTTCATTTCCTGCAGTATAATTTTAAGACCTACTCTTCTGCTTTCCATGTCCAGTGGCGAAATCTCAAGCTGTTTCATCCCCTGAGTTACTCATCAAGGCAATGTCATCAGTAAATCGCAGGTTACTTGGATACTCTCTATTAACTCTTATCCCTAACTCTTCTCAGTTCAGGGCCCCGAAAACCTCTTGTAAACACGCGGTGAATAGCATTGGAGAGATCGTGCCTTTCTGCCTAGCACCTTTCTCTATTGGGATTCTGCCGCTCTCCTTATGGAGAACTATGGTGGCTGTAAATCCGCTGTAGATTTCGTCCAGTATGTTTATGTGGGGTTAGTCGATGCCCTGATTCTGTAGTGCCTGCATCATTCCTGATGTCTTGACTGAGTTAAACGCCTTCTCGTAATCTATGAAGGCTATGTGTAGGGGTAGGTTATATTCTACGCATTTCTCTATCACCTCATTGATAGCATGAATATGGTCCATTGTGGAGTAGTCTGCATGAAATCCTGCTTGATCCTTTGGTTGAGCAAACTCTAATGTCACCTTATTTCTATTAGCTATTATTTTTGTAAATAGTTTGTAGAGAACGGATAGTAAGCTGATCGGCTTGTAATTTTTTTAGTCTTTGATGTATTCTTCCTTATGAATTAAGGTGATGTTGGCGTTCTTCCAAGATTATGGTGCGCTTCCCGTCAAGTGACACTTCTTATATAAGGTGGTCAGTTTTTTTAACACAATTTCTCCCCCATCTTTCAGCAGGTCCGCTGTTACCTTATCCTCACCAGTGGCTTTGCCTCTTTGCACTACTTCTAGAGATTTTCTTACTTCCCCAGTCGTTACTGGTAGGATGTCGCATTCCGCTGGGCTATTATTGCTCCTTACGATTTCATTCTGGTTGTAACGATCGGCTTCTATAAAGCTCTCTGTAGAACTCCTCCGCCACCTCAATCATTCTATCTATATTGGTTATAACATTGCCTTCCTAGTTCCTTAATGCATACATCTCATTTCTGAGTATACATAAGTTTGCCTACACAGCTTTTAGGCTTCTGCCGCATTTTACCAGCTGCTCAGTTCTCTTCGTGTTATACCTTCTCATGTCGGGTATACCTTAAGCCTGTTGATTAACTTGCAAAGCTATACTAGCTCTATTTTTTCGATTGCATTTAGGGCTGTCATGGTCTATTATTCCATGTCAACTGCCCCAACTAGGCTGCTCACCAAAAATCAGTTTCAATAGAATGGATTCAGAAATTTACACACATATAGGCATTACGTCTAAAGTATTTGCCCAAGATATATTGAGCGACAAATATTTTTGGCGCCCATGACCGCCATTTGTAAATCATGAAATGTTGAAAAACCAGGTACAAAAAAACAATAAGTTAACCGTATTGCCAATTCACTCAATACTAGCTCTTTTGTGTCTTTAGAGCAACTTGCTTTCATTAAAAAACAGTTGCTCATGGCAGCTCGAAATTGTCCACAATTTTGAGCATAGTCAAAACTATGTAAATTGTAGCGTTTTTGATCATTTTTCTACAAAACACAGCCATCGATAGAATCCATAAAGTACTTCTATCAAACTCTACATAACACCTACTATTTACGAATATTTTGTTTTGCCGGTGTGCGGTGCACAGGATCTAAGATAAAATCCCTAACTTGCTAAAAATGCCACATTGGTCTAAGTTTAGACGTCTGTAGCACCCTAAGGTGGTCCAATAAAAGATAATAGATAGGCACATATGATTTAGAATCAAGTGGCTTTGTTCACAGAAAGTTCAATCGAAGCCACTTTTGTTTTAGCAGAGAAAAACATTTTTGAAGTTCAGTCCCACTATTGCATTGTTTTGCGATGGAGCCAATACAAGCCAACTGAATTCACAGCATAAAGAAGAGTGGTAGTGCATTTACAAAATGGTTAAAGGTCAACTTGTTAGTACTCGCTTTTGTATACTACATATCAAGGGGATAATAAACAGTGCTAAATATATAACAATGCGAATGAAACATATGCCACTATGTATTATATATATATATATATATATATATATATATATATATATATATATATATATATATATATATATATATATATATATATATATATATATTGTCATGACCAAGAAAGACGCTGGCGCTTCGGCGCGCGGGTAGCTAGAGCAAAGAAGAGAAGAGTGAAGTCAGAATAAGAACAGCTGGCCCCCCACAAGCCAAGTTGCAATCTCTTAGATTTTTGACCACTACATTAAACGATTACTTGGTACATGCAGAAACAAAAAATGTAATAGCTACAGATGCTTCTGTCAACAATGAAAAGGCAGGCATAAGAATTGCGTCTGATTTCCTCGGCTGGTCTTTTTTCAGTAAGGCTTCCAGATTTCACTCCTATATTTGAAGCCGAGCTAGTAGCTATTATTTTAGCTCTTCGTAAAATTCCTACGACCGAGACCAGTGCAATCATCCTAACAGACTCACTTTCGGTGTGTGCAGCTCTGACAACCTTTGAACAATCTCGTGCCCTAGCAGCGTTCCACACATTAGCACCGCCGCATTTAAAGCTCCTCAAATTAGTGTGGGTCCCAGGTCACTGCAGATTACAATTAAATGAATTGGCAGATGCTTTGGCACGAGCATCACTCGATGGACCAGTAATTTCAGTACTTCCCGAGGTAGAATACTTATCAGGGGTTAGATATAGGAAATTCGCTATTTTTACAGATAGTTTAGAAAATATCACACAATGGACCAATTATCAGCACCTCAAATTTCTATGGAAAGCCCAGTGGAGTCCGTCCAAAAAACTTGAAATTATAATCTCCAGATTCCGGTGCCGCGTCCCCCCATTAAATTTTTATTTACACAGAGCTGGTCTGACACTTTCCCCCTTTGTCCGTTCTGCGAAGAATCAGAAACTATTGAACATTATTTTGGCTCATGTCCTAACTATGCATTAATTATGAAACGACTTTTAGATATTCCATTTGCGAAGCTAGGTTTAAATTTAACCACAGAAAATGTTCTAAGTTTTGGTGCCTCTGTTTTGGGAAATTGCCACAGAGATGCATTCGATGCGGTGTGTAATTTTATTCAAGACTCCAAACGTTTTTCAACATAAAGCCCACGTTAACAGATACTCAAAAAAATGGGTCGAAAAGTAATTTCCAATTCTGGATAAATCCGTGACATACCAAATTGATCGTGTTTGGCAAAACCAGCTGTCTGGTCGGCTCCAAAAATCAAGTTGTAGCTATTAGTGTCTACTTTGTTGTTGATTCTTTTTTCTCACAATCTAAATCTTTGGTTTCTTTCTTTTTTTTAACAATTCACTATACAACTCCCCCCCCCCCCCCGTTTTTTTTTTTCGTTGTAAGCTACAATGCAGTTATCGTCTATATGAGACTATATGTTCTCTTGGCCAATCCCCCAGAGTGGGTACGAGCCATGGATTAGAGGATACAAACAAACAAACAAACAGCTGGCCCAGGATCGGGTGTTGTCTCTCGTTCTCTGTCTAGTAGATCACAATGGCGCAGTCGACGAAGAAGAAGGCTTATGTCCCGGCTTCGTCATCCAGAACAGCCGCGATAAGCGCCGCTTGAGGACGGCGTCAAGGCCTCCTCGGCAGCTGTTCACCTGCCGCCACTGCCACCACCGTTCGGGGATGGCGTCAAGGCCTCCTCGGCGGTCCGACAAGTGAACCTTCTGCGGGAACCCACCGGTACGTGTCTTTGTGGTTCGTCGGCAGTGCGGGTTTCTCCATCCAGGAACGCCTACAGCTGAGTACTACAGTTCTCCACATGAGCTTCCAGACTCGTCGCTGATACCGGACCCAAATTCGTGTCAGCCATCGGCCACCCCGTCCTCTTTCGTGGGCAGAGATACAGAGGGGCACAGGGTAGCTGGACCCTCTGGGCCCTCTGTAACAACAAGAGACAGAGATGACGGCGCAGAGGCTCCTGCATCAAATCATGATGCCCGGGCATCGCAGCCTGTCCAGAACGCCGACGGCAATGAAGACCAGTGCCCCAAACTGTACCAATGGAATAGCCTGCTAAGCGTGCTGCGAGCGCCATGAGATAGCCATGGTCACCGACCAGAGTGTTTGACAGCCCCGCAAGGCGAGTCATCGCGTCCACGAGAGTGACCCCACAGACGCAGCCAATATGATGACAGCTTCACAGAATGTCCTGCCGGAGATTGCAAGACCGGCCGTCAATTATGTTTTCTGCCACACATCAC